AGGATATAAAGTCAAACTTCTGTTACTGATAAAATCTCCATGCTGGAACTGGAGAGAACTTTGGATGATAAATATTTTCTTACAGTATTTGAGTAAGTGAGAAAACATTGTGAAATGTTCCACCACAACCTCTCCCTATGCAGTGATCTCAAACAGCTCCTCGGTTCACTGTGGAATTCCATCAGATGAAGCACCAGAAAAAATGCCTAGAGCAACACTGACAGAAGATGAGCAGTAAATCCAACTGCATGAGTGCTTGCCCAAGTTCAAGCCTACATTGTGGCAGTAATGACAGCAAAACACACTGAATTTTCTGCCTTTATTGCATCTGCAGAGTAACAATCTTTTAAAAATCGATCCAAAATGATAGGTTGGAAAACCTATTAAAGAAACTATGACTTGTTAGTGGGGCGTTTTGCTGATAAAAATCACATTAACTTAAAGTTAGAAGCCAGCCAGAGTCTGAAGAGGTGATGAGGATGATGGCTTGTAACATTATCTGAGAAGAATTTGGCTACCACCAGAAAAAGTTTGCTTCCCCTAACATAAAAGAACGGTACTGTAGCTAATACAGTGAAAACTATGCTTACTTCAATACTATTACCATGCCCAATAATCAACAAATAAATAAGTTCTCATCAATTCTTTCTCTAAAATGATGCCATTTTTTGTTAACAATGTAATTAGGCAAACTATATAAACTGACACAAATAAGTTAAAAGAATGCTACAATTTATGTATCATTTTTAGCAGATCAGATCATAGGATTAAGTACTGAACTATATCCAATGAAAGTTTCATCTACCAACAATTTTAAAACTGAAGTAACATATTTACCTCTTTTCATATGAATGTGAACGAAACTGGAGATCTCGAGACGGTGATCTTGATTTCCTTCCTGATTTTTTATGGCTGTAAATTCTACTGTCTGAGGAACTGCTTGAAGATGACCTTCTACGATGTTTCTTTTTTCTTCTGCTTCTGTTCTCTTCTTCAGTGTCTGATGAATGGCGACCCATTTTAACAAGCTAGTTTTTACAAAAATTAGAAAATTGTGAAAATCAAAAAAGTCTTAGATTATTAATAGAAAATTGTATCATTACCAAATTTCCATTCACTGGTCTTAAATTTAAACCAAAATTTTATCTATTAACTTCTGTCACTACATAGGTAACACTATTCTTGAAAATATAACCATGAAAACTTTTCCACTTTTGGAGAAAATACAATGCTCTACATAACTTTTTTTTAAAAAGAAGAAGAAATAAGCTAAACTGTTAAGTAATCTTAGAATATAAGCTTGCACATCTTTTAAATCCTATTAAGTTCAACAAAACTTTGTAAAATGGGTAAGATCGATTTATAGTTCACCGAAAGCACAAATCATTGTTAATGGAGATCTAACAAAACCTTGTGAGATATAAAAAGGAAGAAGACAGGGATGCCCACTGTCTCCTCTCTTGTTTATTTTTGTTCTTGAAATACTGAATAGAGATCTAAGACAAGATGAGAGGATTGTGGGAGTAAAGATTAAAAAACAGAAACATATAAGTTAAGGGCTTTTGCAAATGCCTTGGTGTTGGTTTTAGAAGATCCTTAAAGGGAATTGAAACATTAATGGGTAAATTAAAAGAATTTGGTGCACTAGCAGATTTCAAGATTAAGAAACAGAAGATGTTAAGAAAAGATGTTAATAAAAAATACGAAAACAGAAGATCAAACAGAATTGATGAATAAAACAGGTTTTAAGATTTAGAAGAAGGTAAAATATCTGGGTATCACTATGACAAATACGAACTTAGGTTATTTCACAATAACTATGTTAAGACATAGAATGAAGTTTAAAAAGACATGTTAAGAAACTACAATTGCTGGGGAGAATTTCTGTGATAAAAATGAATGTCTTGCCTAGAACGATGTTTTTGTTTCAGACAATACTTTTTGACAACTGATACACCATTTAAACAGGGGAAGAAGGATATATCTAAATTTGTGTGGCAGGGGAAAAAAACCACGGGTTAAATATAAGGTGTAACAAGATGCAAAGGAAAGAAGAGGATTGGATCTACCTGATTTGAAACTGTATTTTGCAGCTTGCTGTTTAGCTTGGATAAAAGAGTGGGCTGCTGAGAAATAGAAGGCTCTTGGAGTTAAAAGGACATGACCTGAGATTTGGGTGGCATGGATATTTGTGGTATGACCAAGCCAAGGTTAATGTGTATTCTAAAAATCATTATGTTAGATGTGCCATATTGAGAATATGGAATAGATCAAGCCCAGGTTGTGCCCGAAAACACCTCTGTGGCTCTCAGCACAAGAAGCATTTTATAGACAAAAAAATAATAGGCAAACACAAATGGTTAACCTATTGTGAGATACTAGAATTTTGTCAAGGGGAATACAAAATAAAATCAAGAGAACAACTGGTGGCAGAGGGATACAGTTGCCAATGGTTTTCCTATCTACAATTATTAGAAAGATTTAAAGCAGACAAGAGTTTATGGTTCTGAACATTTTAAGACTGAATTTGAAATAGAATTGTGTACAAATGATGAACATGTAATTGCT